AAAATGAAAATGAAGAACGGAGGGATGAAAATCGTCTACAATCAAATATTCAATTTGATTGACTACGGTTCCCTTTTTGTATGCAAAATTCCAAGCAGTAAGGCTGTCTACAATCAGAATTTCATCTTATTGACTACAACTTATTATGAGAAAGGAGTGAGAAGGAAATTTTCTTTGTATTAAAGAAAAGAGAAATGTAGTGCTGTATGGTTTCTCAATTGTATTTTCTTCTTCTTTCTTCTCATTCTTGTACACCTGATGTAAAAGAAAAGCAAATGAAAAGTTCTTTTTTAAGTATCCTATTGTTCTTTTCTTTTGTTCTATGCGTTCATTTCTCCAAGTCAGAATTAAAAGGTGTTCTCTACTTTCTTGTGGGGATGTAATTAAGGGGAACAATCCGTATGATTCCCTGAATGGGCCTTACCCAAAATAATAAAAACTCAATCACTTGATTGAGTGAATTATATTGCATGAGAATTTATTAAAATTTTCTCACCAACATAATTTTGGCACGCCCGGTGGGACCCATTTTCTTTTTCATCTTTGACTTAGAGTATAGAACAAAAGAGAAAAAAAAGAATGTGTAAGTCTTATATCAATATTATCTACTTACAGGAAGAAATATCTCAGACATGGCACCTAAAGTGGTTGTCTACTACCACAAACTGACTGCTATGGAGAAGGAAAAGATAGGAGGCTCTAAGAAGCCTTCCTACAAGGCAACATTTACTGTGGACGTGAATCCTCTTGCTGTTGTTACTATGTCTTCTGTCACCAAGGTGGAGAAAAAAATCAAGGAGAAGGAAGGTCATTGAGACCTCTCCTGTGAGGAAAAGTCTACATGTTCAAGCCATGTTCAACTCTGCTAGGAAGGAAGGTTTCAAGCCACCAAGGGAAAATTCCTCCAAAAAGATTGCTTCGTCAATCTTGAATATCACAAAGTCAATGGTGACATCTCCAAAGAAGTCCTCTAAAACAAGGGCTAAGGTTATTTACCCTACCCAAATCATAATAAGAACCATTCCAGTGAATCTTTCGATTCCTCCTACAACATCAGTCATGATGGTGACTATTTCTGAAGAGAAATCTACTCTTCAAACCTTCAATGAGGCTATAGGAGAAAGGGAAATAGATGTTCCTTCATCTACACAAGTGAAGCCCCGAGTAATTAAACTCGGAAATTCAAGTGGAAAAGGTTCTTCCTCTTGTGGAAAAAAAAATATTTGTAATCAGAAGCCTTCAACTAGAATTGAAGGATCTTCAAAACAATCCTCAATTCCTGTTCGCAAGCCTAGATCCAAGAGGCCTCCAAAAGCTAAAAAGCTACAAAGTAGCACTCCCATTTCCCTTGCTGATTTTGCTGCGGAAAAATCAAAGAAAGCAAAATCAGACATGGAAGCTAGAAAATGGGCTTTTATTTCTGGATACATGTTTGCTAAACAAGCAAATTTTTACCTTGCACTGGGGGCATATACTATGCCCAATGAAGAACTTAAACCTTATAAAGGCCCTATCACTAGAGCAAGAGCTCGATTGTTGCAAAGTTCTAAAGACACGTCAAGTTCAAGTTTGACCAGTGAGTCTGTCACTTCCAAAGTTAAACTAATCCAAGAAGATCATAAATCTTCAATTCAAGAAGATGAATCTGTGGATGAAATTACTTCACAATTGCAAGGAATTTCTATGTCCTTAGGAGAAGACCAAGAGACATCTCCTATGACAGTCATGGTGACTGGTACCTCAAATTTAGAAGAGCAAATTCAAGAGATGCAACGAAAGATGGCAGAAAAAGATGCAGAAATTGCATCTTTGGCTGCTCAGTTGGCGGCTCAAGCAAGCACATCTGGTAAAGAGTCGTCTCAATAAGCATAAACTTCTGCTCCTGCTCCTTAAATAGATCTAAAGGCACTTATTGTAGAGGGACAAAAGGAATTCCAAGCATCTCTCATACCACCTGTCCTTGGTTACAGGAAACCATATCCTGCCCATTATGATACACTCCCATTTCCTTCAGGATATCAAAAGCCCAACTTTGAGAAGTTTGATGGAATAAATGGGTCTCCTCATGAACATTTGGCCCATTTCTATTATGCATGTGGTGAATCAACAATGTCTGATGCCTTATTAATAAGGCAATTTGTGCAATCTTTAAAAGGAGCAACTTTTACCTGGTACACACAATATCATCTACATAAACTATAAGAAATGTCACCAGATTGCCTTTTCTCTTAACAAAGAGGGTATAATCTGATTGAGTCTGAGTGTAGCCGAATTGAACAAGGGTAGCCCTAAACTTGTCAAACCAAGCACGTAGAGATTGTTTTCGACCATAAAGTGATTTCTTCAATCTACACACCTTACCCTGCATTTCCTTGCTATATATACTAGGAGGAAGGGATGTATGTACCTCTTCAGTGAGATCACCATTCAGGAATGCATTCTTAACATCAAATTGATACAAAGGCCGATCATAGCTCATTGCTAAGGATAAAAGAACTCTCACCGAGGTCATCTTAGCAATTGGAGAAAAGGTCTCAGTGTAATCTATCCCATATACTTTGGTATATCCCTTGGCAACAAGCCGAGCCTTATACCTCTCAATTGACCCATTTTCACGATACTTGATAGTGAAAACCCACTTGCACCCAACAGGTTCCTTCTTAGTTGGCAAGTCAACAATATCCCATGTATTGTTTTTATGAAGGGCTTTTATTTCAGTACTCGTAGCATCCCTTCAATCAAGTGTGGCTAAGGCTTCTGAAACAGACTTTGGGATGGATTGAGAGGAAATGGAGGCTAGAAAGGCATAGTAGGATGGGGACAACAAGTTGTAGGAAAGGTGTTGGGAAATACAATGAGCTGTACATTTCCTCTTACCTTTTCTTAAAGTAGTGAGTAGGTCAAGGTTTGGAAACGAGGGTGCTGGTGGAGGAGGTGATGGGCATTTCCTTTCTTTAGTAATCGAGGGCGATTGAGACTCAATTGGAGGTATGGGATCAACCTATGTTTGCCTTAGCCTTTGCCGCTGGTACTATCTCTAGAGAATAGGGCGAGTGGAAACAACTGGAGGACTAGCAGGAGGAGGGGGAGGAGCAGGAGTGGAAGACCGCAAAGGAGAGGATCCTTCCACGAGAATGGGGGTTATTGTGGAGGGCTCGACACAAGACTCAACTGGAGTTGGCAAAGGGATGAAGAAAACAACTCGAAAGATCTCTCCCCCTTA